AGATTGAAGGACTATATTAAGTGCCTGTGTTTTATAAAAGTGACCAGTTTTATAAAACCCTTACTTGGGTGTAGCATTGTGAAATTTCAGATACCAGGAACAAAGAAAAGTTCCCAAAAACTTTCAGAAAAAAATAATCAGGTAATCAGGGCACACGCAGGGGAAAGAATATAATAATAGCATCAGAATTCTTAATAGCATTCCTGGAAGCTAGAAGATAATGCAGTAAATACTTTAAAAAATCTGAGAGAAAATTATATCTAACCTAGGTTCTAAATCTAGCTAGACTATCAATCAAAAGTAAGCATAGGAAAAAAAAAAGTAAGCATAGGATAAAGACATTTTTCAGAATACAGGGGCTCAAAAAATTTACTCCCTAGACCTTTTCTTAAAACGCTACTGGAAATGTGCTCCAGCAGACCAATAGGGTAAACTAAGAAAGGGGAAGACACGAAACTTGGGAAGAGAGCAAACATACCCTAACCAGGGCAGGGGGATGGAGGCTGCAGGAGGGAGGCCGTCAAGGGAAAAGATCACAAAGTTATCTGCTATTTTGATCATCTGGAAATTAATACTGGCAAGCATCTAATAGTTGAGATCTAGCTGATGAAAGGATTCAAGGATAGGTATGTAGAAAACAAGACAAGTAAAAATAACTATCAATTATTAACTCTGGAAAAGTTAAAGTTTTATAGGAAAGGAAAGATGACTAGAATCTAAAGTTTGGCTCTTTGGTGAATGATATTATCCATATGTTTGCCCACAAAGGAAACTTCAATACATTTAAAAAGGAAGAAATAATAGACTTCATTTTCTGGCTACAATGCAAGTAGAAATTAATGACATAGAAATAAAGACCCTCCAAGCCAAAACAACACAGCAGCAAACATGCTGGATATGAAAAAACTTTCCCCAAAACAACTCTTGGGTCAAAGAAGAAATCAAAACTACAAATTGAATCCATCTAGAAAATAATAATAGAAACATTACTGTGTTGGAAACTATTGGCTGGCTTCCTAATGTCCATCATTGTCTTCTGTCTTTTTACTAACAGAGCATTGGTTTTGCTGAGAGTGTCATTGACTGGCTAAAAAACCGTATTTCCCAGCCCCACTTGTGGGGTGCGGGGAAGTGGCGGGGTGGCAGGGGTGTATGTGTGTCATATGGTTAAGCTCTCATCAATAAGATGCCAGGGATTATTGGTGGGTGAAACTTCCAGGAAAGCTCCTTAAAAAGAAGGTTGACTAGGTTGGCCTAATATTAGCCTTAGGCATATGTGTTGCTGGATCAGCCATCTTACAATCATGAGGTATCTAATGCAATTAAATGTAAGTAAGTGGAAAGATAAAGTGTTCCTCAAAAATATCCTGGGATCCATTCCAGCTCTGAACGTCCTACCTCTGGGGAAAAAAAAATCCTAATTCTTCTTATGTTGCTGTTTTGGGTCTGTTTTTTAGTAGGAACCAACAAAATTCCTAACTAACACAGTCACATATCACAATTTGTGGAATATAATTAAAGAATGAAAATAAACAAATGAAGCATGCAAGTCAAGAAAATAACAAAATAGGGCCGGCCGAGTGATGCGTTGATTAAGAGCTGCCTTGGGACGCCAGAGGGCCCCGGTTCGGATCCCACGTATGAGGGCCAGTGACACTGCCCTCTACAGATAAGATGGTGAACAACAGCTCAACCTGGAGCTGGGCTGCCGTGAGTCGCCGGCGACGGCGTAGGCTGCAGCCCCTGCTGCAGTGGGTTGCCATGGGCTACCGTGCGTAGCCAGCAGCCAGTGTGAGCGGCCGTCCAGAAGCCGTCGCCTGATCTGCCTCGCCTGGGAAGAGCGCGATGATGGTTCCAACTTGGGCCAGTGAAGCAACGTCCTCCACAACTAGACTGAAGAACAAAAGGACAGCAACTTGTCTGTTCCCCTGCCCCCAATTACCCAGCGCTGTTCCCATCCCCCAATTTCCCAATTAAAAGAAAAATCTTAAAAAAAAAGAAAATAACAAAATAAAGGAAAGCAGAAGGAAATAATAATGCTCAAACTACAACTCAATAAGTTAGAAAATTTAAAAAAAGATAAATCTAAGAGTTCTTTAAGGGGAAAATAATTAAAATATAGGCATATATTTTACCTGTGTAATCAAGAAATAGCACAAATAAATAAAACTAGATAATGAGAAATAGCTATAGAGGAGATGAAATGATTTATTCTTTGTGAAACTCAGTGCAAATAAATTTGAAAATAGAATCAAATAGATGATTTTCTTGGAAAATGTGCTACCAGATTGATTCTAGAATAGGAAGACACTCAAAAAGGCCCCAACAATGATAGAAATGAGACCACTATCATCTGTGACGTTGTTACCAGTCTTTCTGCATCTCCTTTGCTGTTGGAGTTTTTCGGAGTGATAGAAGCGATCAAATGTTACTTGATCTTTTTTTGGTAATAAGAAAAAATGATTGGAAATTATTTTTAATCATTCTCACGGTTGCTCTCACAAACAAGTGATTCTTTAAAGTAAAAATATTGTAAACAGCATATCCAAATAAATAGTGATAAAAGATCTCAGAGCAGGGTTGTACATAAAAAAAGGTTGAAAGGGCTATTTTGGTAGGAAAATGAACAGGATAGGAAGAAAGAAAAATGGTGAGCATTGTAACACCATAGTTCTTCATTAATTTCATGGAAAAGAACTGTGTTCTCTAATGCTGGTAACTGGAACATCCCTGCTGGTTAAAAATAAATAGCATAAAGTGTGAGGAAACCAATTAAGGGGGGAAAACAAAGCAACCAGAACAACCTGTCAGTTAGAAACTGATTCGTGAAGTTATGCCAAAGGCATCAGGTCATTACACCAGTTATCCACCCTGAGGCCAGGGTTCAGGCCCGGTGTTGACAAATGCCGTGGTCACGTGGGCCCAGGGGCGTCCAGAAGGCCTGCCTGGATGAACATTTGGATTTGAAGTTTCCTTGCTGTTTAAGGTGTTTTGTTTTCTTTGAACTTTGACGTTTCCCCACATAATCTTCATTTAAACAGATGTAATTCTAACTTAATGTCCTCTTCTTACCCCATCTTTCCCTGGCAGCGGGAGCAGTGAGCCATGGAGCTGTATTTTGGTGAATATCAACACGTGCAGCAGGAATATGGCGTCCATCTGAGACTCGCAAGTGATGAAACCAAAAAATCAAGGAACTCCCAGCACCCTAAGGCCGGCTCCTATGGTGTCAGTATTCGGGTACAAGGAATTGATGGCCACCCCTACATAGTCCTGAATAACTCGGAGCACTGTCTGCCGGGCACATCTTTTTCTGAAAATGGGCCATCGTTTCCTGCTCCAATGATAAATAACCTGCCCATGCATCCCAACAACGGGGCAGTGCTAGAGGAGAACAGTTCAGAAGAACTGCAGCTTCCAGAAAACCCATATGCCCAGCCCAGCTCAGTAAGAAACCTGAAGCAACCCTCTCTCTTTGAGGGCAAGAATGGAGTTCTAGAATGCAAAGAGGGACCAGTGAAGCCATCCCATGTGCTGAACTCTCAGAGGCATCCAGAGCTTTTGCAGCCCTACAACCCTGAAAAGAATGAGTTGAACTTACAAAATCACCAGCTTCCTGAGAGTAATTGGCTGAAAACCTTAACAGAAGAAAGTACCAACAATAAGAAGGTTTGGACTTGCTTTCCCAAGCCCAGTAGTTCTCAGCCTACCAGCTGTCCCGTGGGAGACCTGGCCAAATGCAACGTGACAGCCATTCGCTTATGCAGCTCCGTGGTCATAGATGACCCCAAGAAGCAGACCTCAGTGTGTGTGAATGTCCAGAGCTGCGCCAAGGAGGGGCTAGCAGAGGAGGCCCTCTCCCCTAGTGGGAGGCCCGTAACAGCCTACAGCCCACACACCCATCCTGAAACCAAGAAAACCAGGCCGGATGTGCTTCCCTTCCGGCGACAAGATTCAGCCGGTGCTGTCCTGGACGGAGCTCGGTCTCGGAGATCCTCTTCCTCGTCCACAACGCCCACTTCGGCCAATTCCTTGTATAGATTTTTGCTTGATGATCAAGAATGTGCCATCCATGCAGACAATGTGAATCGTCATGAAAACAGAAGATATATCCCCTTTTTGCCAGGTACTGGGCGGGATATTGATACGGGATCAATTCCTGGCGTTGATCAGTTAATTGAAAAATTTGACCAAAAGCCTGGGCTGCAGAGGCGAGGAAGATCTGGGAGGCGAAACAGAATCAATCCAGAAGACAGGAAGAGGTCTAGAAGCGTGGATAGTGCCTTTCCTTTCGGTCTCCAAGGGAACTCGGAGTACCTAAACGAATTTAGCAGGAACTTGGGCAAGTCCACCGAGCACCTCCTGCGCCCGTCACAGGTGTGTCCGCAGAGGCCGCTGGCCCAGGAGCACCGTGGGAAACAGAGTACCAGCCGTGCCTCCGCCAAGCTGCCGGGAGCCTACCCCAGGCCTCCCCAGCAGAGCAAAGATGGGAAAGGTCCAGAAAGCAAAGGTGGTCAGGAAAGTATGAGTGTGCGTGCATCCTGCCTCCCAGCACAGAATAAAAAGGAGGAGGAAATCAAAACAGCCACTGCTACGCTGATGTTACAGAATCGGGGGCTAGCAACTTCAGACTCAGGTGCCAAGAAGATTTCTGTGAAGACATTCACTTCCACCTCAAATACTCAGGTAATAACTTGTGTGAGTTTGTTTCTCTCCCGGTTCTAAATGATCTAAATTCTGCCTCATGCTGCAGGAGCCTATAGAAATATTCCATATCCTCCATCTGGAATGGGTAATTGCACATCCAAATTTTTTTTAGTTTTTCCCTACAGATAGGTCCTACTGCCAATTGTATGGTTTTCTAAGTTCAAGTACAGCTAGATTCACAGTGGGGTCTTGTCTGTAAAGTAACTTGTCAAACACTATAGAGAGGTTTGACTTTTCTGTTTGTATAGATGTGAAATCTGAAAGTATGTGAAATTTGTTTCCACACAGGGGCTCAAGGCTTAGGTTTGTGTAGATTTATTAATTTTCCTCATGAACTTGAGTGACTGGGTTAATTTCTGGCCTGAGAAATTAGATTAATTTTAATTTAGATTAATCCTAAAGTGATAGGATTTACTTAACTGGTACATTTCGTATTTTGGTAGTCACAATAAAAAATTAATGATAATGATAATAAGGTTAGTAAGTGCCAGGCACTATTCGTTATATATGAATATTATATAGGATGGCACCAACCCTGTGAAGGTAGATCCTGTTTACCTCAACTTATAGGTGAGAAAATTGAGGTAAGGAAAAGTTAAGTATCTGGCCCAAGGTTACAGAGCTACTCATTAAGTGGTGGAGCCAGTGGTAAGGCGAACCCTTACCTGAGGAATCCTATTTTTGGAAAATAAGAATGTGTTTGGAAGCTTCCGCATCAGGGTTTTGCCTTCTTCCTAGAAACACCATCCTGTGATCTAATAACAGACATTGTGTTCCAGGCCACACCGGATCTGTTAAAAGGCCAGCAAGAGCTCACTCAACAAACCAATGAGGAGACAGCCAAGCAGATACTTTACAATTACCTCAAAGAAGGGTTAGTGATTTTCCTTAAAGGAGCAAAGTGTTGTCATTTCTGGTGTGGCTCTTAATTTCCTTTTCTGAGACCTTGTGTTTTGCCCTCCCTCCCAGCTCTATGTGAGCCATTTAGGGTTAAGATTCAATGGCTGCAGTTTTCACAACAGCATTTAAGTTTTGGATGGTGGTCCAGTGAAGATCAGGGGAGGGGAATGTAGGGAAGGACATTATGCATTGAAAATTAAATATGAATATATTTTTAAATGACTTTACTGTTTTAAAAATAAATCAAAGAAAGGAAGAATGTCTATTACTCAGTTTTGAATTAAGTCTGCCATCACCTTGAGTTCTTCCATGCACACAATAGTACTCTATCATCCCTTATTAGGAAGTTACAAATAAAAATACCTCCTTTCCTCCCCAGAGCTGACATTGGCCAGGAGCCCCTGCTTCCATTATTTTTAAAGCATGTATGAGTCATTTAAAAGCAGCGCTTTCCACATACTTATCCTGGGGGTTGGGTTTGAGTAATCTGGTTTTCAGTCCTTACTTAGATACTAATTGCGCTGGAATTCTAGGTCAGGAATTTGGAGTTTCTGTTTCAGTTCTCTCATCAGATATGATTAAAAAGAAAGCTTTACAGCCTGACATGACTGCAAGTCACTTGGCAAATACTCATTGGTCTTAAAACACTTCACATATTTGTATTGTGCCTTACAATTATTTGTTAGTATAATAATATAGAGCTGACAAAATAATCAGGTTCAAAATATAAGATAGGGGTTCTTTTGAAAAAAAAAAAAAGAGTAACCAAAGAGATTCTTCTAGTTAAGATCTAGTTATTAGTGTCTCTATGAAGGATTTTGCCATATTAAGGTTAAGGTAGAAGAACTTTTGATTTTTAAAATTCTCTAAATTCTTTTATTTACTTTTTTTGGGGGGGCTCATGATTTATTAAGAGACTGGTGAGACAGACTTGAGCAAGAGGCGCCTATTTAAGGACACATAATTTAACATTTTTTCATAATTGCCAGGTATGTGTGATAGAAGGTGTGGTAGAGGTTAGTAAGACATTATCCAATCATGATCATTACCTGTGAAAGTCTAGACAAAGGGCTGCTGTGTTGACAGTCTTGGCTTGGGAGATTTATTTTTTTTTAAACATAGGCTAAACAAGCTAATATCACTGTGGATCATTCTTAGAGTAAGATTTAAAAGTAAAATGTCTCACATACAGGAGAAATTCCTCGATGGGATGAATATAATTCGTTTGAATCAGGCAACAAATTACTAATTTTCACTGGATGTTTTCTCCAAGCTTATTTAGAATGTGGTTATGTCTCTTTTACATGTTTGGAAATGCCAACCCCTGTCCCAAATTGAGTGGTAATATAGAATAATTTATTCGACGAAAAATACACCATCCATCCTGCTCTTTTCATATTGGTTTTATATGTGGCCTTAATTAATTCATGCCTCTTGTAATTTGTCTTCTTAAAGGGCTTGTTGTTTGTGTGTCACAGCACATAAAATATTCTGAGACCAATGGTTGTGCCCCTCATTGATTTTTTCTTTTGCTTCTTATTCAGAAGCACCGATAATGATGATGCTACTAAAAGGAAAGTTAACTTGGTCTTTGAGAAAATTCAGACTTTAAAGTCTCGAGCAGCAGGGAGCACGCAAGGAAATAATCAAGTAAGTTGAAGTTTTGTATTTTGCAGAGGGCACGTAACAGGGAATGTGGCAAATTACTGTTTCTTCAGCCTGTACATTTGGTTATAACAGCAAGGGGGAAGTTTCCTGAGTAGTGAGCTGTATCCTAAGATGGAAGATCGTGTGTTAAATATGTGTACCCTGCCTTTTTTTTCTAGAAAGGTTTTAAGATATTTTATTTAAAAAGTGTAAAATGTAACAGGATGAAACAAATAGACGGTGAAATTTAGAAAGGGAAAATAAGAACAGGAAGAACGAAACAAAGTAATAGCTAGAGAACCTTAGCGTTATCATAGGCACATTCCGAAGGTAAGTGTGAACTGGCTTGGACCCAAGCTCTGGAACTTCAGAGAATAAGAAATAAGAGAATAAGAGCAAGAGAATAAGGAATAGAGGCAGGTGAAGCTGACCAGCATGGGTGCAAGGGGAAGGAAGGAAGGAAGGAGTGGAGTGGTGCCAAAATCTTTTTTAAAAAACTGCCTGTTTAATTGATTGCACTGAATTTGAGTTGAGACTTGGAGATATTTTTGTTAAAAAAGGAGTCATCTCATAGTTGATGAACAGCTGCTATCTGCCAGGCGTCCCTTGTACCCTGAAAGCAAGCAACAAGGGGTTGACTAAAAAGGACTTGTTTCTCAGTCCTAAACCACCTTGAATTGGGTCCCGTTTCTTGCTTGTGCATCTTCCCTTTCTCCTCCCAGGGGAATTTTGCACGGGCAGGAACAAGAAGATATCCAGAGGCAGGTAACAGGAAGTTTGTCTAGAGCTTCTTTTCAACTGTGGAAACATGTATAGAGGATATTTTTAGATATCAGCTATCTTTTCTCTACTACTCAGTATTCCCTGAGCCCTCAGCTAACCCATGACTGCTACTCTGGCATCAAATAGAACTATACATGTGTGTATGTTGTGTGTGTGTGTGTGTGTGTGTGTGTGTGTGTGTGTGTGTGTGTGTGTGTGTTCTCACTGGAGAATCTTTAGATTATACACTTTGCTTTAGGAACTCTACATAGTTCTTAAAATTAAATCCAACTTATCAAGGTGACTCCTGCTTTTTATTTACCTGCATATTCTTAGGGAGAACTTATCCTTTGGCCTTAATGTTAAGATTGTCCTTGTGGGTCACAGACTAGGGGTCTTCAGTCCAAACTGAGGAAGTCCGCATAGCCCTTCTGGAGTCAGTAGCACTAATGGTGTCTTAAAAGATCATGGAATTCTCAGGGAGAAGGGAAGGCAGGGCGCTGTAGGTAGAGGGAACGACACAGATACAGACCAATATAAAATGTGAAGAGGCATATGTTTGTTATATTTAGGGGAGGGAGGTAATTTTGTGTAGCCGGAGCCGAGAGTATGTGGGGACAAAGTGCCAGATAGGAAGGACTTCAGAAATCACATAAGACATTTCCATTTCAGGCTGACGGTGATGGGCTACCATTGATGGACTTTAAACAGGAATGCATAGTGTCGTATTCATAAACATTCATTCCTTTTGTAGCTTTTTGAGAGAGGTGAGATTAGAGGAAGGGTGATCAGTTAAGAAGCACTGCTGAATCAAAGGCGAGATGATGAGAAGATGAACTAAGGCTCGTAGACCTCTGGCTCCCATCACGGTGCCACGACTGCTTAATTGCCTGTATCTTTCGACTCCCCTTTTTTCCATCTTATTTTCAGAATCTGATTATTTGCTGACAAAGGCTTTGGAGTTTTATCTTTTTGGTGTCAGTGAAGTGATTTCCTGTGAGAGACTGTGAGAAACCTCCTCTCCATATGGACTAAGACCATATTGGAAAACAGCAAAGCAGGCAGACGTTTTGTTTGGGAAAGAACTGTACCACTTCTCTCAGGGGTTGGATTTAGATTTCTAACATGGATTGTTCTCATTTTGTCTGAAAATTGGAAGTCCTGTGTTTTTGTTGAATGTGAGGTTCTGGTTAACTTCACAGGAGCAGGTGAGGTGAGGAAGTACAGTAAAACCTTGGATTGTGAGTAACTTGGTTTGCGAGTGTTCCACAAGACGAGCAAACATTTCTAATACATTTTAATGTGGTAAACGAGCGATGTCTTGCAATACGAGTAATTTGTTTCTGGAAAGAATTATGCTCACAAACCAAGGTATTACTGTACCTCATTCCAGGTTCATCACACACAACTCACCTGGATTGAAGCGCCTAGAGAGAGCCAAGATGCTGCTGCCTTTTCTAACTTTGATTCCTGCTTTTACCTCTTTCCCTATCCTATTTGTAGTTTTCTAATGACTTTGCTGTAGGATTTTAGCCAAATCCTTTTGAGAACATCACCCTATTATTATATCCATGGAAGAAAATAAATGAGAGCCATTAACAGTCATACTCAGATCAGAGATGTTATTTTCTAATAGACTCTCTTTAATCATATCCCTTTTCATTATATTTCTCTCCATTACGGAAATGTAACATCTAAAAGAAGAAAGCCAATTTAGCTAGCATATATTTATTTACTACTCGCATACAAGCATATGCTTAGAGGGATAAAAATCTCATTGGTGGTTATAGAGTAATACCCAATGTAATGAAAACTCTGTAATAGATGTATATACAAAGGGCCTTGGGAATGCAGAGACATGGGTTTTGGGTGTAATTTCATGTAATAGATGAATCTTAAATATTTGTATCTTTTTACATTATTTAATGGGGTATAACTTACATATGGTAAATTGCACAAATCTTAACTGTATAGTTCATTGACTTTTTTTTTTAAAGATTTTTATTGGGGAATTGGGGGATGGGAACAGTGCTGGGAATTGGGGGAAGGGGAACAGCAAGTTGCTGTCCCCTTGTTCTTCAGTCTAGTTGTGGAAGACGTTGCTTCACTGGCCCAAGTTGGCACCATCATTGTGCTCTTCCTGGGTGAGGCAGATCAGTCGCCGGCTTCTGGACGGCCACTCACAGCAGCTGCTGGCCGCTCACACTGGCTGCTGGCTACACACGGTAGCCCATGGCAACCCACTTGCATCGCCGGGGACTCCCGGAACCCCAGCTCCAGGTCGAGCTGTTGTTCAGCATCTTAGCTGTAGAGGGCAGTGTCACTGGCTCTCATATGTGGGATTCAAATTGGGGCCCTCTGGCGTCCCAAGCCAGCCCTTTACCAACGTGCCACTTGGCCGGCCCCCATTCGCTGACTTTTTAATATAGGCATGTGTCCATGCAGACATCACCCAGATCAAAATATAGGACACTCCCATCATCCAGAAGTTTCCTTGTGCCCTTGCTCTGTAGAGATTTACATTGGAATTGGGTCTTAAGATTTTAGTGTTACTGCTCTGATTATATTTTGGGGTCAGGAGAATTCAAATGAGCACCTGTAACACTTAAGTTAGGATATCTTTGCAATTAATTATAGGCTTCTAATTCTTCACCTGAAGTCAAAGATCTGTTGGAACAGAAAAACAAATTGACTACAGAAGTAGCTGAACTTCAGAGACAGCTTCAACTAGAAGTCAAGGTATCTTTTCCTTTGTGTTATTTTTTTCACTTCTGTCTTGATTGAGAATCTTTTTAAGTACATTGGGATGCCCAAATGAAGTGAAAGCCAATTATTCTCCCCAAAAGAAACATTCCGCTCCTTATAGAAGTAAATTCCTGTATATTTGGCTCTTCTGTCCAAAGAAGTTTTTGTTGTTGTTGTTTTTAAAGTAACCAAAGCATATAGAGACTATTTACTTTGGCCGACTAAAAGAAATGCTATTGGATTCAGGCAGGCCAGTAGGAAACTAAATGCGTAAAATATCTGAGCTAAGTTATAGAAATAGCAGAATGAGGTATAGCTGTGTTTCTGTTTCTGTTTTAGAAATATTACAACTCATTAAATATTTAGTACTCTTTCTAGTTACAAGTTCCTATGCCTTAATTATGTCATTTGGTTAATAATTAATAATACAAGTGCAAAGACAGGGAGTCCATAAGAGTTTAGAAGTAGACTTCTATAGGATTACATTAATGTAGAGTGGAGGTATTTTAAAATCACATGTATTCATTTTAGAATCAACAGAATATCAAAGAAGAGAGAGAGAGAATGAAAACAAACTTAGAAGGGCTGCAGAGCCAACATGACAGGAAGGTGGAAGAGAACTCCATGCTGCAGCAGCGACTGGAAGAAAGTGAAGGGGAGCTCCGGAAAAACCTGGAGGAGTAAGTTCTGAGCTAAGAGCCTGTGTCCTTCCTGGGTTCTGGCATCTGATGTGGCCAGAGCCTTTTTGTCCATTTAGTGCTATCCAGCTTTCCAAATATTTATAGTGGCTTCTGACGCTTCCTATCCTCCCTCTTATCCTTGTAAGAGTGCAAACCTGATGCCGTGTGTAGATTGGTAAGCAGAAAGGTTAATAATTTTGAAAATCTTTGTACACCTTAAAGGGTGTCTCTGGGACCAGTGCTTAAACTTCTGTTGAGTCTGCAAAGATGGACTGTCAAGCCGAAGGTGGCCCCGTCATTGGGTTGTATTAAAATCTGTGACAAAAAGATTTGAAATTAAAGTCTGAAAAGGTGCAATGCTATTACATGATGGAAACTTGAAATAAAGGTTTAAGCAGGAGTGAATTCTAGAGGGAAATTCAAGAAAAATAGGACATTATATAATAAAAGCATTTAATTGTCTTTGCAATTTTGACAGTGTAGTTTTTGCATTTAAAACATTCTTAGAGGTTAATTTTAGAAAAGAAGTTGGTAAGAAAAAACATCAGAAAATTTAGGGTGTAGTAAAGACTTTACAAAATAAAAGGTAGAATAGTTGTGAATTTGATTTACAACAGTGGTTGGCAAACTCTTTGTCAGATAGTAAATACTTTATGGTTTATGGGCCATATGGTCTTTTTTGGAACTACTCAATTCTGCCATTGTATTGTGCAAATGACCGTAAGCAATACATAAATGAATGAGCATGGCTGTGTTCCAATAAAACTTTATTTACAAAAATAGGCAGTGGGCCAGATTGGCCCATAGGCCATAATCTGCTGACTCTTTTGGTCTACAGTGCTGGGTGGGAGCAGAGAATGTGAGAGCCTCCTTGGGGCTTTGGATGACTTTGCTTGACCATCTAAAAGTCTGAAATCAGACTGAATGACAATAAACAGAGCCCAGGAGAATCTCTCTGATGGACTTCTCTTCCTATCAGGCTGTTCCAGGTGAAGATGGAACGGGAACAGCACCAGACTGAGATCAGAGATCTCCAGGACCAGCTCTCAGAAATGCATGATGAATTGGACAGTGCTAAACGATCTGAGGACAGGGAGAAGGGGGCTCTGATTGAGGTAAAGGACTGTGGGGTCAGGTGACAAGATAGGCCCCATCTGCCTGAAGAGGATGAGATGGTGGAGGTGGGGTGGGGGCTGAGTGCTACGAGCCTTATTCTGTTTTGTGCATTTGCTCCACCTGTGCCTATGGTTAGATTCTGTAAGAGCCTTGTATGTAATTTTTTTTAAACATTGTCTTAGGAAAACTTTCCACCATACAGAAAAGTAGAAAGAATAATGCATTAACTTCAATAGAGTCCCAACCCAGATCCAATAGTTGTCAATATTGTGCCATATTTACTCCACTTATTCATCTGTCCATTCATCCTTTTTTTTTTATGCATTCATTTATTCATCTTTGCTGAACAATTTCAAAGCAAATTACAGATAGCACCACTCCTTACTCCTAAATTCTTAAGCAAGTATCTTTGAAAAATTAGGGACTTTTCTTATCACCCCTAAAAAATTAATAATTCTATAATGTATTATATATAATATAACAATGATTTTAATATCTGGCCCTTATTCAAAGTTTGCCAGGGAAGAGTGGAACTAGTTAATGGATACCATAAGGAAATAATCAGACAGATCAGTGTGACTTTGGTCTTTAGAAGATCAATGGGATAGGAGAAAAGGAGCGCAGGGGTAGGGGCTAGAAGGAAAGGGGTAGGGGGCCTATACTAAGATAAACGAACTCTGACAGAGATAACAATGAAAGCAATGAGAGGTTCTTGATTGGATCCTGGCTTGGGTGAATGGGGACAGAACTTTTATCTATGCCCTTTTAGATAATTTGATATTTGCTATAATATTATCATTACCTGTATCGTTGGCAGAATTTTGAAATTTAGTTTCTTATAAGCTTTGGTTTGTAGAAACAGCCCAAAAAATAAATGACACACAATTTAGAACAAAGCAAAAAAAAAAAAATCAAGAAGTAAACGTACCTTGTTAGTACTGAACTTTCATTTTTTACTGCTTTCCCCTAAGGGCTTGGGTCTTTTCTTTGTCCCTTTCTGGGGGTTAAAAGTCGCCCCTGTAGCTCCTTCCTTATTAGGTGTCAGCTGTCAGTTGTTTTCTCACTCCCTTCCTTATTTCATTTTGAAGTTATTCCCCAGGAAGGGTTTTAATTCCTGCTCTTTGGAACTGTTGCCTGTCTCTTCCCTGTGACTTGGCAGGAGTAGAGAACACTTGTGGCTCCAAGCATAGGAGTTCTCATGAATTCCCTTTTCACATGAGTGGAGGGGAGTCATTCCTCTTCTCCCCATTGGACCGTCTCTCTGTCTCTGTTTAGACCTTTTCTTCTGAGAAGGCTTCAGGCCTGTTCCATACCACCTGGTATTTCTCTTTTCATCCAAGGATTCCTTGAAAACCACCATATTCATGGTATTATACTGCTTCTCATGGCCTGCCTTCTTCTCAGGGCTCAGTTACAAAGACAAGGTATACTTGAATGGGGCTTTGAAAATGTGTGTATTTATCACTGAAATATTCAAACTACATAAAATGAAATTTTAAAATGGGTTAAGTGAAAAAAACCACATTTTCCTATCATCTTAACAACTGTTTTTATTTCTACATTTTCTGCTTACCTCCCTACCCCTCATCTACCCATGTATAATGTAGGGACAATTACAGTATCTGCTTTTAAAAGTTAATATGCCAGACACATTTTTCCTTATTATACCTTATGGTCTTTATATTTCATTTTTAAGGAGGTAAACCCCAATATGTTTAACCATCCTTCTATATTTAAGTTGTTTCTTTTTTTTAAGGTATGAAAAAATATGGTGAACATTTTTTACATGTGTCCTTTTACGTCTTTAGAAAAATAGCCTAAGGATAATTTCCCAGAAATGATGTCACTGAACAGTTTATGGCTTTCCATAAAAATGTAGCTTTACAAACAAATTAAAATAGAAGGTAAGGCTTTGACACACTCTGTGATTCCTGTGTGGACACTTTATTGATTCTAAAAGGGAAAGATGTTATCTTAGCTATTGGGAAGTCCCGTAAGTTGCTGAATTTTCCCAATAACTGAAATCTATAGTTGCTGTTTGACTTTTCCCGATACCCTCTATCCTTTTAAATTCTCTATTTTAGCACAGTTGACCTTGCTCTAGTTTCTCTTTCTTCTACTAGCCAGCTAGCTAATTCAGTAACATACCGTCTTTGCTGCTTTTCCCATTTTATGCCTAGCACACTGCCAGGCAACAGAGCAAATTAATAAATAAATTTCTTTTTAATTTATTCTAAAAATATTACTATTTTAATAGAAATAATTCTGACATGAGTTATATGCCTCTTTGCCTCTTTAAACACAATATACTGTGTATCTATTAATGAACATAATTTATTAATAGTTCATTGACTTATTTGTACTGGTAACAAGGGTAAGGATATGAGCCTTAGTTTTGCTGATGTATTTTCAGGCAGAGGCTGATAAGAAGAAAACAGGAAAGGGAAACAGAGCACACCTTTTCTTAAAAATGTTCTTGATGTTGCTGCCTTTTGGTTGTCTCTTCCTGTAGCTTCCTGCTGCCTTTCTCTGCAAGATGAGTTAGGGACCAGTTAGCTTCTCTATGCCAAAGTGGGGTTCTCTCTCTCTGGAAAATTATACTCATTATTATTTTATTTTATTTAAAAAAATATTTTATTGGAGAATTGGGGGAGGGGAACAGACAATTTGCTGTCGTTTTGTTCTTCAGTCTAGTTGTGGAGGACGTTGCTTCACTGGTCCATGTTGGTATTATCATTGCGCTCTTCCCAGGTGAGGCAGATCGGTTGCTGGCCTCTGGACGGCCGCTCATGGCGGCTCTTGGCAGCTCACACCGGCTGCCGGCCGCTCACGCTGGCTGCTGGCCACACACAGTAGCTTATGGCAGCCCACTGCAGCAGGGCTGCAGCCTATGCTGTTGCCGGCGACTCACAGCAGCCCAGCTCCAGGTCGAGCTGTTGTTCACCATCTTAGCTGTAGAGAGCACAGTGTTACTGGCCCTCATGTGGGATCCGAACCGGGGCCCTGTTGCTCAGAGCTGGCGTCCCAAGCCAGCTCTTAACCAGCGTGCCACTTAGCCGGCCCCTATCCTCATTATTTTTAATCAGTTTCCTTTGACTTCTCAGCAAAATTTAAAACATGTTCTATGGTTTCTTTATGACTAGTAAAATAGAGTTCATCTCCTTGTCACTTTCAGTTTATTCTTCGTATCTTAATAAGAAATGGCCTGGGGAATTTGATAACAGTTTACAGTTGTGGCCAAGTTTTCCATGGCATTTGGCTTAGGACAGACACGTAAACACAATGAACATTAGACACTTGTGCTTTTGAATGTTTGAAAAAGGCTGAAGGACCTGTATTTTGTGAGGCCTTTACAATGCACCAGATTTTTCATGAAATCTCTTCTAATACTACTTCACATTTTGTTAAATAACATTGGGTCCCTATTTGGAACAGGTAAAGTTATAATAAGAGAGAATAAATTAGTTTAAAAAAAAGGAAGAAAGGAAAGAAGAAACAGTAGAAAATACCATTTTCTCTAAATAAGCCATATAATTGGCCAACAATAGGATGACTTTTTTATTCATAAATAACTGATGGTTCTGAATTTTTGTTTTTAACTCAAATTATAAAAATGATTAGAGAACAAATTTTCAGCCACTTCTTTGTCCATCAATGTGTTTTCCTCCATGCTGGGGGAAATGGGTAACATCATATATCGCTCTGAGTGCCACGACAGCGGAGTTTTCTAATTACCAACAGTCATCTTTGATGGGCGCCTGCAGTGCTGACAGCTGGGCCTCATTCCACAACCTTGTGGTGTTGTATTCCTGGCATTTGCCAAGATGCAAGTCTTTAAGTATTGGGAAAATGTTCTGGTTATGAAACTGTATTGATCTGGGGATAGGATAGACTATGCTCAGAAATGAGGTCTTTAAAATAATTATAAACTTTTTTCTCAGTGCACCTTGTGATATTACTGAACATTATACAAATTTTAATGAAAAAGCAACTAAAAAAATTAAGTTTTTCACAAACTGCGTGACACTTTCTAGGCCATCCCTCTGGGAAAAAAAATTGCATAATTTTTTGTTAGCTATAATTTTGATATACAACCTTTTACTTACCTTTTTATTGAGCATGGGCCAGAAATAGAGACCCTATAAAACCGCTGGGAAGCATTTCCACAGAAGAATGTCTAGATCAGTATTTCTGTCCTTCTGACATGGAGTACTTGTGAATAGGTGCTGTATGAAGTGAAGCTTGCTTTAGGCACATCAGCTGCTGCTCTGGACATTCCGGTGTGTGTGTCTCAGTGCCTCTGCTGTCAGGACAGCCACTTGCTGTTGCTCATAACAGCCGGTCCCAGAGCGTCCTTCATTTTTCTCACACCTTTCCTTCTTGCCTTTTAGGTTCTGGTCATGTTTCTTTGCTTTAGTTTAAAAAGGTGGACCTTCTTACAGGTACTTCCAGCCAAACACAGTGCTGTGTTCCATTTGCATCTAAGACACAGCACAGTGTAATTGCTTGCTCTGCAGCCCCTCCTGAGGGTGCAGTTTTGTTGTCAGGCTTGCAGAGGCTATAGGATGAGGAGAACTGGCATTGGAATCCAATCTGGGCCCCAACCTTGGCTCTGCCACTTATAAGCTATGCAATCTTAGGCGTGTTAGCATCTCAAAGCTCCAGTTTTGTGTTGTGTTTTCATTTGTGAAAGAGAATAATAATATTCAGCTTCTAGGATTTTTGGAAATGTTTAGCACAAGTCATGCTAGGTAGTAAGTACCCAACACAGTCAACTTTTATAGTTTCCTGCACCCACACATGCACATATACATACACACTGGGTTTTTATCTGCTGGCTGTTTTCATGTGTGCAGCTCACCTGGATGCATGTAGGTTTTGAAAGCACTGAATCTGAATGGCCAAAGTTTTCCTTCATTTTCTTTGATTGGAGTCTGTAGAGAGGCCATCTCTAATGGGTGTTGGCTTAGAGTTTGAAGTTTATATATTTTCTCTCCCTTCTTTGGCTTGATATAATTGTCAGTAAAGCCACTGAGGTGATGAAGTGACGTTTTTGAAATCCCCTGTGCTTTTTTGGTCTCTCTGGAAAACTTCAAGTGCTCCTAAGTGATATGGTAAGGTGTAATCTGATTGGATTTGTGCAACATAGTCCATTTACACAACAGCCTCAGCCCCAGATAACAGCATGTGGGTGTAGAATGGGCCATCGAAACCCAGGTTCTTGACATGCATTGGCAGTAATACACAAAAGGCAACTCAAAACACAGATACATCCTGGAAAAGATAAGTGTGGGAAGAGGAACTGCCTTATCGTCAAAACAATTGAGAACGTGTGAGAGTAAGTGCAGGAAACAGGGGTTCGGTTCACAGGGCTGTGGTGAAGAGGCTGGTGGGAGGCTCCAGGAAGACCTAGAAGAGGAGCCAATAGCAACAGTGATGGGGGGAGTCTCTGCTACTCCTCAGAAGGGGGCTGAGCAGTGGCAGCCGCAGGACGCCCCTTTAATAAATATCAGGATGGGGTATATTTTCATAAGATTTGCTTATATTCTGTGTTTGGTGCTTTGGAAGAGCCAGAGTTACCCAAGCTACCTGGACAAATCTCTTGACGTTTCATTTGCGCTTTTCAATCAATGCCTTTAGTGAGAAGCCTGAAGGGCTAAGTCTCGATCTATGCAATGCCGAGCTACCCTGGGATTGCAGAGGTTCCCCTGGTTCAATGGATGTGCATGTCCTAAAGAAAAGGAGAGATATTCCATTGTCAGCTACACTTAAATTAATACAAATATTTTAATCTTTTCATCAGTGACACTTTCTTGAATGGAAAGTAGCTTATTTCTGAGGCCTTGGGTCTGCAGGTGGCAACTATTCCTTGGAGTTCCCAGTGAACAGGATGTATATTTACTCAGAAGCCACCAGTGGAAAAAAATAGACTAGTTTAGAATTCTGGTATCTCCAGACTCCTGCTGTACTGCACATGTTAATATATTTATATCCAGGACAGACACATTCCTGATGTCATTAAGCCATGCATCAAAAATATAATAAATCAGATCTATGTCCTGCTTTCAAGGAGCTGACAGTCTAGCAGAAGAGATAAGAAAATAAATATATGGACTATAAGGTAAAATTGTTAAATGTTGTGATAAGTACAGCCAAAGTGAAATGGGGAAGGCGATTCAAGGAAGACTTCTTGGAGGAGGTCATATTGTATCTGAATCTTCAGAAATTTTCTGAAAGGGCACTTCAGACAGAGGATGCCATGTGGATATTGTCATAGAGGCCACAGGTGAGAGACTGGATGTGGGGAGCAGATGGGTGACTACTGCAAACCATCTGGGCAGGAGGTGATGAAAGCCTGAACCAGTAAGGTGAGGGAAAGGATCGGAGATGTTACAGAGCTGTTTGGTTGTGAAGGACAAGGCCAAGAGAAGTCAAGGTTGCTGCCAAGCTCCTGAGTAGGTGGTGCCATTCACAAGAATCATTAACAGAGGAAGAGGAAAAGGAGGAACATGATGAATTCACTGAAAAACATAAAGCTACTGCATCTGAGGTGCCCATGGGACATCCAGATGGATGTGCCTAGCAGGTCGCTGGAAGTGTAGCTTTGAATTCAGATAAGAGCTGGAGGTAAAGGTTTGGGAATTATTTACTTAGAGTTATATTTGGAGAAAGGTAGATGAGCTTGCCAAGAAAGAATAAAGAATGCAAAGTTGCATTCTTGGGGATCATCTTAGCTTTTGGGAAAAGGGAAAGAAAAGCTAGAAAAGATGGTCACAGAAAAAGTGGCCTGAGGGAAGAAAAGAGGAGAGTGTAGTGTCTTTGAACTATAAGGCAAAAGAGAATTTTAAGGACAAGTGGAGAGGATCAAAGTGGGATAAAAAAAAGTGTGGACCTGAGGCATTGGATGTGGTGACTAAGAGGTCACTATACCTTGGAGGGTGCAGTCCTAGTGGAGTAGGAACAAAAGCCATATAGCAAGAGATTAAGGAGCGAATAAATAGTAGGTGGTCAAGAAGTGGAGGCAGTGAACAGAAATTGTACTTTCAAAAACTTTGGTGGTAAAACTTTGGTTGGTTCTTTTTCCCCCTTGACTCAGGATTCTTGTGTTCTGAGGGAAAGGACATAGATGCAAGAAAACAGCAAAGAACAAAATGACAGGAAAAAGAAACAAAAGATAGTCAATGGAGTAAAGACTTGGAGCAGGCTGACAAAGGACAGCTCATTGCAAAGTGGCTTCCGTTGGGGATGACGCCTGAAGTTCAGATAAAACTGGGGTGAGAGAAAGCTGAGGCGGTCATGCCCATGTCCCAGCCGAGGGTAAAGTAAAGGTGTCTGCAAAAGATGGGCAGATTCTGAGCTTGAGGAGAGCTGAGCAGGTCTAGGACAAAGATGGCTGAATGAAAGGACTTCCTGTTGAGTTTTTGGCAGAACACACTTGGGTTTAGGTAATGCAATTTGTTGTGGAACTTGTTGCCCCAATTTTATGACTTTTCTTTTGAAGTCTGAACAGTTGAGGAGAAAATGTGAATATTTTGTCCTGCCCAGATAGAAGAATTAGCATCATGGGTTAAGGACTCTGGGGTGTGTGTGTGTGTGTGTGTGTGTGTGTTTGAAGTAAGTGAGGCCAACAAGTTGGCATGTCCCCCATGAAGTAACAGTCTATAAAGGCCAATAGCAAGGGCCACAGATTATTGCACAGAAATGACGTGAGATGGGAAAGACAGACATAACCTCTCAAAGCAATGACAATTGAATCAGTTTTCATTTTCTCCCCCCCAAATATCAAGGAAGGTAAGATAGTCAAATCAAGGGGAATGATGGCCTCTGAGGAGTGAAAGGGGGAGAGGAAGAGATGGTCTAAACTGGTGGGTAGTGTGAGGAAGGAGAGAGAGAGGGGAGGGCAGGTGAGAGTATGGCTGCTCATCTGAATCGCCAACTGGAGGGGAGCAGCAGGGCCGCCTGACAAAGATGGTTAACCTTCGCACCCTGTTTATGTTTCCTCTTTTTAGGAACTCTTACAGGCAAAACAGGACCTTCAGGATCTGTTGATTGCCAAAGAAGAGCAGGAAGACCTCTTAAGGAAGCGGGAGCGTGAACTCACCGCCCTGAAGGGAGCCCTGAAAGAAGAGGTTTCCAGTCATGACCAGGAGATGGAGAAGCTGAAGGAGCAGTATGATGCCGAGCTGCTGGCCCTGAAGGAGAGTGTGGAGGAAGCAACCAAGGTGAGTCCACCCAACCCGTCGGTCAGACCTTTGCGGGAGTTGGGCTGGGGCAAGAGACGCTAGCTTGGGCACAGATGACAGGGCAAGACCACTTCTCCCACACCAGTGCCGACTGTCTTCCTTCTTGTTCATTACAGAATGAAACTCAGTTTCATCAGATCATGGAAACAGAGCTTGTTCACAGAGAATAAGCTCGAGGCATTCCTAGAGGTCAGAGGCCTGGGGCATTGTGTGGCTTTGCTAATGGGGCAGGATTGCAGACAAGACCCAGATTTCTGGAATCCTTCACCCCTGCCCTAGCCTGTTCCTTCTGACTTGTGAAGCCTTTTGTTAGACAATCCAAGTTCTTTTCTTAGCACAGTTAGCGGAGGGTTAATTGGCTGAATTGCCCAAACCCTTGCAAGATAATTTTTCTCTTAATTGAATTCTTGGCTCCTACAAATAGATTCTAAATTATGTTGAAATCTTTTGGTGCGGGCCTCATGTTGGCTGTTGAAGAAGAGAAAAGCAGCTTTAAAGGGGAAAATGCTTGGAAATATCATGCCATCTTTAGGGAAAGTGGGGAATTACAGAGTATAAATTTTTTAGTCTCTGCAATGTATAGGTCAAAGATGATGAAGAAAGAACTCGTGATATTGTTTGTTTAGTCTGTGATGATTACAGCAAAAGCACAGATCTAGTAGGCCCTCCCTCCACTAAGCTCCATAGTGATTCACTGATTTTCAATTATGGCATGGTAATTGCAAATGACAAGAAGTGAAAGATGGGTTTGTTTGTTATAACAATAAAAAGTCTGGGAAATAGTCTGTTTGGGAGTTATAATGGAGACAGTTAAAAAGAAAAAAAGCCTCTCAGTGATTTGCCTATCTTAGCTTCTTTTGAGATATGCTTTAGTTTGAGGGAGAAAAGCGAAACTGATTGAATTTTCATTGCTTTCAGGGGATGCCGGTTTTTTCCACCTCACTTCCTTTCTGTGTAACAGCTCCGTGTCCTTGCTATTGGCCTTTATGTGCTGTTGCTTCGTGGGGGACATGCCAGTAGGCTGATGAGTAACACGATTCTCCTTTGAGCCCATCATGTCTGTTCTGTGTCACCTTCAAACACTGCATTAAAGCTTAAGTTAACATTCTATATTCATTGAAGGGTAGTGGAGGGTGGTGCTGAGGCATGTTTATAGTGAGTTGATTCTAAGGAGAATTAAACTTGGCTCACACATGGGATGCAAGATATTTTATTGGAAGCCTCTAGATCCTACCCTGTCACAGATATTATATAAGTGAGGAAGGGAAACATGGTAGGTGAAAGAGGATATCTTTGTTGTATGGAGTCGAGATAATCCATAGTGATGCAGGCTATTGCATTTTGACCTGGTCAATATCGTGTGTTAGTTCACAGCGCTTTCATTGTGTCAGTTTAAGAAAGATAGCTGCATTGACCACATCAGTCTGTGAAAGAAATAACAGGTGAGTTGGCCAAGGTATATATCACTGGCAGAGAATGTAAGGTTTCCGAGCACCAGGAAGCTAACACAAAAGGCTTCACCTTAATATCCAGTGAGGTACGTTCCAGCATGGCTCTTGGCCCTAGGTCATATTCTGCACTGCTGCCAGCATCTTTTCTTAAAAGAACAGATCTGATCATGGCAGCCTCTGCTTCAATAATGTGCTTGGCTCCCCGCTTGCTTAGACTTAAGTTCAAAATTGTTAGCACGGTAGGCAATAGAAGTCCATTCTCTTCCTATCCATGTCTCCAGAAAACTCCATATTCTTTTGGTCCTCTCACCGTTTTGTATACGTGGAGTGACTTCCTTCCACTTTTCTGCATGACCAACCTCTTATCCTTCAAGACCCCCCCTCAAATGTCCTCACTTCTTTGAAGGTGCCCCAGATACCTGCACTCCCCTTGATGGAGTTAGTCCACCTTCCTTAGGGTTTCTTCTGGTTACTTCTCTACCAGGAATGATTAATTTGTATCATACTAACATGATGTAACTTATCATCATGTCTGGACTCCATTAGACTCTGAGCTTCTTAAGCACAGGGGCTATTTTTATCCCTCCTCCCCTTTTTTCCCCCTAGATTGAGAGTGGGAAACTCAAGTACCTCAGGACCCAGATAAGGACATACACGAGTGAAGCTCTGGGTGTACTGGGGTGACAGTAGGGCAAGGTGGGGACTATGACAAGCCGGAAAGTGTATCCTTTGTGTAGGGTCAGCCGCTTTTCTGATACACCTTAAAGTTGCCAGTGAAGGAATGCTGGGCCCATGTTGCTAAGTCTCTCAATTTTTAAAGAGAATCCAGATATCTGGATGTTGGTGTGAGATCTGACTTTTAAGCAGTGCTTCAAATTAAAAAGGAAAAAAAAAGTCACATAGCCCGAACACATCTGCAGGTCGACAGTGCGTGATCTTTGTCTCTTGAGCTTAGTTAGCACGGGGCCCAGCACACACTCACATCTGTGCGATGTCTGATGTGTGAACCTAAGTGAGGGACAAATTCCCTTCTTAACTGAGTTTTCAGTCACTGCTGTGTGGTTCCTGTTGGATTTTCTCTAACAATGATGTGGGAGGTGTTTTAGGAAACTGTGCTATTACTCTGTGAATTTCCGTGCCTTGCTTTTAAGTTTCCCTGTGGTTTCTTAAAGGGGATCATGGTTGTATTTTTACACCTTAGCTTTTGCTTCTGAAAATGGTTACTGAACGAATGTGGCAGAAGCATATTTAATGGAAAAATATGTCAATTTAGTTGAACAGATGCTGCTTTTTTGTTATATTATTTACATATGGATATTATATACTAGAATTTTAAGATTATTCTATTAACTACTTGGAAGAGAGTAAACTAAATATAATTTTTTTTAAAGATTTTTATTGGGGAATTGGGAGATGGGAACAGTGCTGGGGAATTGGGGAAGGGGAACAGAAAGTTGCTGTCCTTTTGTTCTTCAGTCTAGTTGTGGAGAATGTTGCTTCACTGGCCCACGTTGGTACCATCATTGCGCTCCTCCCGGGCGAGGCAGATCAGTCACCGGCTTCTGGGCGGCCGCTCACAGCGGCTGCTGGCTGCTCACGCTGGCTGCTGGCTACACATGGTAGCCCATGGCAACCCACTGCAGCAGTGGCTGCAGCCTACCCATCGCTGGCGACTCACGGCAGCCCAGCTCCAGGTCAAGCTGTTGTTCAGCATCTTAGCTGTAGAGGGCAGTGTCACTGGCCCTCATATGTGGATCCGAACCTGGGCCCTCTGTCATCCCAAACCAGCTCTTAACCACCGCACCACTCGGCCGGCCCAAATATAATTTTTTACCTTGATAAAGAGTATTGCTGGGCCGGCCAAGTGGCGCGTTGCTTAGGAGTTGGCTTGGGACGCCAGCTCTGAGCAGCAGGGCCCAGTTCGGATCCCACATGAGGGCCAGTGACGCTGCACCCTCTATAGCTAAGATGGTGAACTAGCTAAGAAACTCGACCTAGAGCTGGGCTGCCGTGAGTTGCCGGAGATGGCGTAGGCTGCAGTGGGTCTGGCCAGCAGCAGGCATGCGCTTTCGTGAACTGCCATTAGCCATCATGAGTGACCGTCCAATGGCCAGTGAGCAACTGACTCACCTGGGACGAGCACAATGATAATACCAACATGGGCCAATGAATTGACATCCTCCACAACTAGACTGAAGAACAAAAGGACAGCAACTTGTCTGTTCCCCTTCCCCGATTCCCCAATGCTGTTCCACTCCTCGAATTCCCCAATAATATCTTAAAAAAAAAAAAGAGGATTGCTTAAATTTGTGCACCAGCCTTTATCGTTTTCCTGCCCTGGGGAAGGACCCACCCACCACTGTGACTAAAAGCTGACATTTCATGAAGGAACTCTATTGCATTAAAAGTTTATTTCCTTGGTAAGTCTTAGGAGGCAGCCCAACCTCCTGTCATCAATTTTTCTAATTTTTGCCACTGCCTCAGGGCCAGACACCCCTAAAGTGCTTTTTTATCATTGTCAAAGAACACATATTTCATCGTGGCCTGAACTTGAGCACTAAAAGTTTTAAATTACTAGAACATTTGGTGAAAACTGTCAAAGTATATTAAGAACATTTTACAGGTATTCCAAACAGATACTCTGTAAAAGTGGTTTTTGTAGACCCAAATAGCCTCACCTTTTTCAGAACAGATTGATGGCTCAACAGAGAATTCATGCGTGCCGTGGTGATGCGGGATTCCTCGTGCAGCAGAGCGAACTGTACCTCTCCTGTGCAGGAGTGGCTTGGTCATTAGGCGAGCTCCTTCTGTTTCTTCCCAAAGAGAAATGGACCTTCGCAGCCTGTCAGAAAGGGGGTTCTATCTAGCAAACCTTCTGTGAAAGGGCTGTTAAGGACTTTGGCACCTTATTTCGTAACATATTTTTTTCTGTGTTACATCCTTTTATACTTTTTCCAGTTTTACAAAGGAAATGTCCTCTTTCTCCTTGGGTTTGTGGCAGTGGCTGGAATAGAGCTACCTTATGACCCAGCAATTCCACTCTTGGGTATTTAACCGAAGAAATATAAAACACTTATTCGAAAAGTTATATGCACCCCATTGTTCATTGTAGCGGAGATAATGGGAGCAACCCAAGTGCCTATCAATAGACAATTGGATAAAGAAGATGTGGTACATATATACAATGGAATATTACTTGGCTATAAAAAAGAAATAAAATCTTACCATTTGGGACAACATGAATAGAGGGTATTATGCTAAGTGAAATAAGTCAGACTGAGAAAGACAAATACCATATAATCTCACTTATATGGAGAATCTACAGAACAAAATAAACAAACAAAACAGAAACAGACTCATAGACACAGAGAACAAACTGATAATTACTAGATGGGAGGGGATGTTGGGGAGCTGGGTGAAAAAGATGAAGGTATCAAGAAAAACAAATTAGTAGTGACAAAATAGTCATGGAGATGTAAAGTACAGCATAGAGAATATAGTCAATAGTGTTGTAATAACTCTGTATAA